TGAACATAAGCGGATTAACGTGTGTACGAAACGAAACAATGTTGCAGTATTTCACGAAATCCGTATTTATTCTGAATGATTGCGCATCATACTGTATAGCAAGAATGCTTAGACCTTAGATATTAATGTAATTTGTAAAATATTAAAATGTGCCGTTCATTGTAAACGTGAATTATCTCCTTGTAATTGAATTTTTAAATAACGAGCTTTTTGTAAATTAATGTGTAGGAAAACAAATACCAGTATTTATTCGGTGTTTCTATTTTTTAAGTTGCTTCTTTTTAAAAAAAAATGAAAGATATGTGACTCCGCATTGTGCAAAAATATGTATATTTTAAACATTTAGAGTTACATCACTTCGTCCATAAGAAAAATCGGGGTAGCCACAGTAAAAGGAAAGAGTTAAAACTTATTACCTTTTAAAAGTTTAGTTTTTGAGAAGTAAATTTATAATAACTACCAATTAGCCGGATTAGAAAAATATACGTTTTCACGCTAGTTATGATAGTTCATGATAGTTGAAAAAATACTTGATAGTTAATAAATTAAATTTATAGCGGTTTTTTATAGTATCAATAATCAGTCGCTTAGGAAAATAATGTTTTTTCTACGATAGACATAAAAGGTATGATTTGTCTAAATTATTTTCCATCGATGGCGTTGTTTGAGTGCATTAAGTTTACGGTAACGACTCAAGTGTTATTATTATGTTATTCCAACAATGCGATGAACACCGAATGTCGTCGGGTTCACGGAGCTTAAGTTAAGGTTAACGCCAGAATTATATTAGTATTGTGTAAATATATCACAGCGAGTGCCAGTGTCATAAGTGTTTTGTGTAATCTGCTGTTCACACAGTGAAATCCCTCCGAGCACAGCACAATATAATATATAATATACAACTATCAAACGTTAATTTACTAGTATTAATGGAGTATATCTCACAACCATGGATAATAATACTAAGGTATACATCATGTAAGAGTTATTAAATCGTCTACCAGCAGAAATGTATTTCATCTGAACAGGCTCAACAATAAGCGATAATCTTAAAAGTTGTCATAAATAGATGGACATTTTTTTGTAATTAATATTTGAAAAAAAAAACAATTCTTACTTAAATTAAATACATTTAACGAATTATAGTTTTTTCTAATTTGTATTGAGTCTACAAATATGCTATAACTTTATATTATGATAAATTATATACATAATATGATGTCATATTTATAATATTATTGTGCGGGTTTTGTCGAAAACGAGTTTTTACCCAAATGCGGAATTTTTTATGTCCCAAATTTGCAAATTAAAACAGTTGTGTGTTTTTTATAGGCCTTTAAACTGTATCATCGCGGCTTTAATTGTTATTATTCGGTTGGGCTAACATCTACGGCATAAACTACGATAATTAAGCCGCATTTGAATTAAATAGCTTTTAGCGAATATCGTTCTAGAACTAGTAAAATAATTGGCGAATTTAATTAAACGATGGCTGTTTTTTCAAATGCCTTTCGCCGAAGTTGTTAAAACAGTTTTCCCGTGAAGTTATCTCTTTTGTTAAATGTTAATTTCGTACTTAAACAACAGGATAACTGGAGTCGAGAATTTTGGTATTTTTTTGTTATTATTATCTCTCGTTTAAGCTTATTACTAAACTAAAATAATTTTATCTTAAACAATTTTCTGCAAAACTTTTAAATAGCTATTTGAGGAGAGTTCCCCTAATACCTAGTTGTTCAGGAATAAGAATGTGTAAGAGTATTATTATAGATATACAATAATTAGAACTACTTATCGTCGGTTACTACTTTCAAGTAATTCAAGTAATTTGTCTTTGTTTATATGTTTTATATAAAAAACAATTAGGTTGAGAAAAGGTAAAATTACATTTGTATTATTATTGTTTTATGTATTTTACATAAAACCGATTATTTTTGTTTATTTGAAGACCAGACGCGAAATTTAATAAATATAATGTAATTTTTTTTTTAAATCGCATCATTGTTTTATTCAATTTATTTGATTCGTATGATACGGCTATCTCTGAGCACTTATTTATTGACTGTGGTTGGTTCAATGATGTCTTTTTTGGCGTTATCAATTTTTTTTGGACGGAAATTAGTAAAAAAAAGTGACGGCAAATAATATCTACCGCAATACATCGAAGAGTTCCGATACAGAAGTAAAACGACACTCCTTATCAGTTTTATTTAAAACAAAATGAAATTATACAAATGTGTATTGTGTTTACTGTTGAATATCTATATAAATTGATAATTATTGTCTACTAAAACGATCGATTGTTGGTTCGTTTTGACCACAGTTTGATTTTGAGAACAATCGTTTCAGTAAAATACCGTCTCACTTCCGTGTTGAAGATAAAACAGGAGCATTCGTGTTTTAGCACCGATGCGACTTCGAGTAGAAATAATTTGCAATATTGTGTATATAATATATTTTTAAACTTTTGAAGTATTACTTTAAGTATCACACTCTCAATTAGAAATTGAGAAATATAATATAACTTATTAACCAAAGTTTACTCATTTTATAATATTCCTAAATACATTAGTCAGTTATTAATTCATTGGTAATTCGATATAATAGGTAACATATTATTATTAGGTATGGTTAACTATTGTTACTTGTTCAACACTAATGACTGTTACTAAAAAAATACCAATGCAATATGCTTGTCGGCCGAATGAAATGAAACGATTTTTTTTATTATTAATTATTCCATGTTACGGCGACAACGATAAAAAATGATTTAAAAAATTATAATACACGAATGTTTTTTTTATATATTTTTTTTTTTACAGCCTGTAACGCAAACAACTAACGAACACCTGTTCGAAACTGTGATTAAGTATACAACAGCCACGAGTGAAACGATACTTTTTTTACGTAACGCCAAAAACATTTATTAAAAAGTAGCGTGAAGTTTCCAGTAACCATTATAGTAAACTGAAAACAAAAAAGTTGTACTTGTTATAGTGTTGAAAACTTAAATAAGATCATTATGCTCGTCTAAAAAAAAAAATGTTTTAAGAAATACACTACCTATACATATTTTATCATTGTTATCAAATGTTAAATACCGATTGGTTTTGTTCGAATATCTTAAAAAAATAATACAATTCACAATATCATAACAGTCGACTTGCGACATAAATAGCTGGTACACTTGTACCTGTACGATTTGAACAAAAATTAATAACTCTAAATCTGATTGCTATTGCTGCTGCGTTATTTCGATTCGATAAACATGATGTCGATTATTAGTGAAAAAAAAAGTTTATCCGGTTCAGTGTGCGTGTACTGACTAGCCGATTGAAAACAAACAGATCTGTCCCTACCCCGTCGTTCACTAATCCTATTCAACCGGCCCGGGTATTGTTCCCAATTGTTTATAAAGGTCTGTCCAAGTTGATTTTCGTGCCCGGGATTTGTTTCGGGCCACCAAAGTCGTCGACTGAGCAAACACCGTCAGGATATCGGATTGTTCAGTTTTTCTCTATCTATCTATATATATATATTTATTCACCTTGGGCAAAAACAGCAACATTGACGCCAATCCTGCGAGACCATGAAAATTATGGTTGGAGGAAAAAACAGTAATCTCGTGTGTACATAAATAGATATATGGTATATGTTTTTTTAAAGTAATATTTTAGAACGAAACGCGTTCTTGAACGTTGTTGTTAAAAAAAAAATCCCAGTAGTTTATAATACACAACGGAGTCCTAAAAAAGAGTTCTGCAATATGTTCAACGATACGAGTATTATCCGAAAACAATAATACAAGGAAAAGCGTTTTTTTTTTAAATCCGTCGTAAAACAAAAAAAAACGATATTAAATGTTTATTACTTCGGTATGTTGCACTATAGCAAGTAGATCTTAGAGTATAGCAATTTCAATAGGCTTTCTTTTAGTTTACACTATAGTTTTGCCGTTTAAAAATCGCCAAATTATATTTAACGTAGTCCTTTCGAAGTGATAAACCGAAAAAGCAAATAAACAAATTGTCCAACTGCACTTAACATTTTTTTTTTTTTAACTTGAATCACAATAGATACATACATAAGGCATTAAACGAGTACTTACCTAGTTGTAATTATTTTATTTACTGTAAAAATATATACATATATATCTCATGTTGTTGGTAACGAAAAATGTCTTAGTTGACAGCGTTTGAAGTCGAATACGCGAAATGTGTTAAAATAGGTAAACATAAATAAATTGTTGTAAGCGTCTGAACCGCGTAGTATATTTCTTGAAAATTGTAACTGTCAAATGGAATAGCCAAACCAAGCTATTGTAGAGTCGAGTCGATAATAAATTCTTGGACATTTCGAGGGGGCAGGCAATTTGTTTTTTTTGCGGTCGACAAACGTGTTGTCGAAAAAGATTAGGTTGAACGTTTGGGCGGGGAAATGGAAAAATAGCGCCATCGGGAATAATTCAACGGAATTGGTGTAAAGACAAAGCACGAAGCCATTGTATTCGTTTGGTACTGTTATATATGAAACCAATACAGCTGTTAGTTTTTTGGAAAAAGGCAGAATTAAATTTATACGGTAAAGCTGAAGCTACTCCATTAAACGAAAAATTCGTCAGCAGCTTTAAATTAATACTTGTACACAAATAAACATATACAATTCAGTAATGTTAGCGAACACTGTGCCGGATTCAGTTAAACATTTATTGCATTTGTACCCAATGAATTCCTAAAGGGGACAAGTGAAATTTAAAGTTTTACATTTTATAGAATTTGTCAACAAAAACCATTTTCTATCAGTATATTTTTTTTTAGCCTTTTTACTCGGACAAAAATATTGAATGCAAATAACCAACATCGCCCAAAAGAACACATTGAATTTTTAGTTATCTCTCCAGTAAAATTGTATACGTCATAATCACTCATACCAGTTCGGTTTTCACCACTTTACATTTTTTATGACTCGTATATTAAATTGTATTATTGTTATTATTTCAGGTTTACCATCACTGCAGTGTAAATATGTTCCATATACTACTGATTGGAGTTCAGTTGTAGCATACAGAGACATTGGTGTCGATTCGGATGTGTACTTTACACCGACATTTGTATCGAAAATGAGGTATGTACATTAGGTGTTATAATAGTGTTTATACTCTAAACAAAGTATAATGATACAAATAGTAAAATTCTGTGCTGATTGATATAGTTTATAATATGAAAATTAAAAAAGATTAAAAATTATAATTTTATGTTGAATGATTTTTTTAAAAGTTATGTATACATATAACTTTAAATATATATATATGTGATTATAATTAATACAATTTTAGCCTTATTTTGCACATCATTATCGAACGATTATAAATATTTTATTGTAAAAAATTGTATAATGTGCCATTCATGTCACACACACACATATTATTCACACACCTAACCTTAAAGGTTTTTTAATTTTCTGTGTGCTGTATTTTAAAAAGTGTTTTGCAAGGAAATGCATTCCTGGAATGGCATACCTTTTTTAAGGAATGCATTACTTTTAGTTTAAGGAAATGGTAAATGTGAATGTATTACGTTTTGAGTAGAATATGAATGGATGTTTAAATGATGAATGCCGTTCAAAAAAATTAAAAATGTATCATTTGTCATTTGTATTGTATTTCTCAACCTTAATTACTTTAAGACTACAAAGTTAATGATATCAATATAACTTATCTAAAATCTTTGAACACGATTTTATTAATTGTTAATAACACGATGACGAGGAAGCATTTAAATACATTTTTAATATATTATATTACTATTTTACCATTTTTTAGCTTTGATACGATAGCTAGTTTTATAGTGTGTTTTTTTTTTGTGTTTGTAGGCATAATAACTTTTTTTCTGTGGACAGAATTACTCGTGTAGCTCACCCTCTATAGATGGGAATAGGAATGCATTACATTCGAAAAGAAACAGGGATTTTAAATTAATAATTTTGCACTTTCCGCTTGTTGTTTGCGGGTATCGTTAAATTCTGTAAAATTATCCGAGGTTATTTTTTTTTGCAATAATAATAATAATTATCTCGAGGAACAACATTGGGAACGTTATTCAATTCGAACATAACGAATAAATTGAAAACGATTACACAAATTAAAATCTGGTGCGATCGAAATGAACTCTGGCACTTAAGTATATATGTATATTTGATGGTATCGCTGAAATTCCAGCAGGTAATGACATTTTCGAGTTGTGTTTACCGGAATTCGAAAAACATAAAATATTGACATCTCCAAAGGCGGCGGTATTGCGTTGGAGGCCAAACATAAATTAAAATTATCTGAATAAACGACAGGGCCCCGCTGCCTGATGGCGGGCTATATGGTAGTGATGGCAGTGGGTAAGTAATTTCTCACGGGGTAACGGGTCGTGTCTATTGGCTACAAATCAACACCGTTCGAGTGTATGTGTATTATATACTTACTACTAAAGTGCGGACATTTTATCACGTATCTAAACTTTCTGGTTAGATTCTGGCGAATTTGTACTGCAGTAACGTACCTCGGCGTTTTACGCCATAGATACAATCAGCGAAGTTTAACCGCAAAGTATGACCCGATGGAATTTCCCGTAAGCTCCATATTGACACTGCAGCGCTAACTTTGGCAGCATTAGGAATTTCGTTACCAAGCCTTAAACCCGCATTATCGGTATCGGACTTGGTTAACAGCTCGTCTGTACATAAACTAGTTTAGAAACGGCTTGCATTATGTTATACACTGTTTATTGTACAATAAAATATGTACTAACCATTCGGTTTAATCGTAGTTCTGTTAACGACCAACGGTCATAATCAGTTTTGGTTCTAAATCACTAATTTTGATAGTATCACATTACCCGTATTGTAAAAAAGTAGAATTGTTGTCAAAATGTTTTATCAATGTTTTAAAATCATTTTTTGGACGAAGATTAAATAAAAAAAAAAATATATTAAACAAAATGTTTAAATATAGAAAATATTATCAATTACAGTATTTAAAACAGAAACTTTGGTAATTAATATTTGTATCTGCTGCCAAAACACGAACTTTAATTAATAATAACATATTTTTTGATATTTGGAAAACATTTAATATCTATTGATAGCCGTATGGGTAATCGTATTTCTAATTTATAGCCGCACATTCGTTTGTTTTAAAAATGTCACCATAAAACAATGCGTACGACGTGTAGTACGAATTATTTTTTTTACCGACATTAGAAAATCTTTTTACTAATTACTTTGGCATTGCCTCAGAAAGCATAAAGAATCGTTATTTATATAATATACACGTCTTTTGTTGTGTACGGATATAATGAATTTTACAACGGAAATTTGAACCCAAAGTTATCCGGACGGAACCACATAGTCTCTGTGTCATCGCAAAATCTATTAAGTCGTGATTTATGTGCCGTACTCGGTTTTCACTTAATGATAACTCTGTGTCTTTTGTCGCTGTGCCTGGAAAAAAATATGTAATATAATATTATATAAAGCCAAATAAAATAATAAAGTGATTTATATAAAACGGTAGTTATCCATCATGTATTTTAACGGATTTCATTTTATTTTCTTGCACGGCCACTCGTAAAAGTGTAAAATATTAAACGCAGGAGCTGTACAAGAGATTTAATATATTTTACCATTATTATTATTATTATTAATATTAACAGTCGACCGAAAAGACATAAAATGTCGTTTGGACTGTTTTGAAATTACAAGAAACTAAACTATGTCTGGTCGGCAAACGGCGCGACTACGAATTATAATCAAGTCGGACGGTATTCAAATTTATATGACATTACCCAACAGTTATGATGATGATGATGTGATATTATTGTAACTGAATGTCTGAATGGGCATTCATCGACTGAAAGTCTATGAACGAAAATTAAAAAAAAAATGATTTATCCAAACTGATAAATATGGCTTGTATCACATAGTTGATAACCAATGAAAACTGTGTACCGAGAAATGTTATTTCGTCATTCTGGTGACTCTGCAGCTTGCCTTTTCGCTTATTTCATAATATTTTACTCATTGCGACCCCCCGACCTTCCTTGAATTAACAAATAACAAAATTCGATTGAGTATGTTTTTATTAACTGGTAAAATAGATGGCACGACATTTCTCAGCAGGTGTTGTATATTTTAATAGTATCAATATATAAAAAATCAAACAAACGAGACAACACGGTCGGTAAAAAAATATATATTGGTTCGTTATAATAATATCGGAATTCTCGGAGATATAATTTCGAATAAGGAACACATTGTACTGTAGAGCTTAGATTTGATTAAACAAACATGACATAGGTATAAACAAAATTGGTTGTACGTTTTCATTCGTGTTAACCTTGATCTGTAGAAAGTTAAAAAAAAAAAAAAAAACTATGACGGAATGAGGTAGACGTTTCTTTTGTCGTGTCTGCAAACATAAGAAATACACGTCGGTAATTGGAAAATAACTCGATTTTTGTCCCGACCGCGAAAGTAATGTCAATTCTGCGACGGCGGATCCAATTTCGGTAGTTCGACGGTAAGAAAGCTCAGTGGTAAAGAAGAGAAGAGAAACACAAAAATCTTTCTCCGGAATCATTATATTATTTATCTGCACAGTCTATTTGCTCGTCGTCGAGATATAGTATACACTATTTCGGTCGAACAAAAGGGACAGTTGCTAAAAACGCCGGACTTGCCCTCTAGGGAAACAATAGCAGCACCATAACGGATGTCACCCTCCATTTGACGGGGTGTGTATATTTTTCTCTTTCGCCTTGGATAAAAATCCGAATGAATAGATCCAAGGACGTGTGGGTCCGCGAATTTCGCGTGACACATTAATAAGGTGTCTGATGAATTTAGTTTTAATGGACTACACACGCCGACTCCGGATATCATTAAAACATCGCCGTCTTTCCGTTTCGAAAAGTCCATTTTCAAAAGAATTACTAAGAAAATATATCTATTCGCCGCCGCCGTCGTGTAATTTATTATTGTAGTTTTCCCACTTGTACTATCCGGAAACATTCTCTCAAGAGAACCGAGTGGTTATCAACCGAAAATCACGCCGTCATGTTTTCGAGCACCATTGTAAGGACTTTTTATTTAGGTATTGGCCAAAAGAAAACTGAAACTGAATTCCAAATTGACCTACTATTATAGTTCGAGTGATAATAAACTTGAGTTCGGAAGTCCATAAATTTTCATTTTTCATTTTACTGAGTAATTCATAAGATTATAGCTAGGTCACAAATTGGAATTACATTCTAAAGAATCCAAACGTACTTCCATATTTATTTTATACGTATTTAGACAATTTTTAATTTTTTTACGAATTTTCAAAAAAATCGTTTTGTAATAATTGTATATTTTGCATTTTTTAAATTGTGTGTGAAAATCCCAATAGCATTATTAGACAATCATTTTTATTTTGGCAAAAGCTCATGGGTAATAAATAAATATTTATAAAATTGTTCAGTTCGTTTATATGCTTTAATAAATTTTCATTTTGCCTGAACAAAATGTACATGTATCATCAACAATAATTATTGTTTTAACCATCTGCTCTATAGGACCGCACTGATTGTTGTTAATCATATACAGGAACAGATTCGGAATTTAGAGATACTCCGGGCTCTGTAAATTGCTATGCAATCCGTATCATGATAATGCGGGTGCATCGATTTGCATTCTTAATTGAGACGCTTATTAAAACAAGGGCCCCATTTCAAATTTTGGTTTTTTCAGGAGACACAAAAACTATTTTTCTAGGTAAATTTTTTTTTAACGAAAACTTTATAATCTTATTTACAATCTATAGTTTTACCATTAGATTGCCCTATCTCTGGTTGTGTTTATACCGCGGTAACAATAACATTGTTAACGGGTCTATATTATTATCGCTAGCATTGATTGTATGGTATGTGTTGGGGTTGTTGATCGTAAAGGGTGCGCTATTATTTCCAAGACACGCGAAGGAATCCAGACCAGTAATCGGATTGGTACGAGCTCGTTATGTACAGACACGTATTATATGTTTTTGGCGAATTATAGGTTTACTCGTTAACACTAAACCAACACATCTCAGCCCGTGT